AAATCAATAAAAATAAAAGAAAAACCTAGGTGTGAAGGTCAAAGAACACTTATGTAAGACTCTCATTATTAAATGGAACTTATTCTCAACAAAATCAACTTTTTTCTTAGGTTTAATTTACGTCAATCGTGAGTTTTTTTCTTTACTAATAGAATATATTTATTTTCTCTCTCCTCTCTTATACCAGGAAGTAAAAATTAAAAAAATAAAGTTTTAAACTAAAATTAAATTTTAAAAGACAAAAGGACTTAAAAATAAATTGGAAAGTATGAGTATCAAAGTGAACTTCATATCCAAACTTTGAAGTTGCCACCTATTTTGCCTATCTTTTTCACTTTGATCCTCCACATTTGAATCATACCCTTGTTTAACAAAACAAAGTCAATTGACCATCAATTGGTCATAAAAGATGTGAATTGCGGAGAAACAAACTTCAATGATAAAAATAATATCATTACAATCTACAGTGAATTATATGTGTGTGAACAATAACATGGAGGTATAGTTGTAGTTTCCCTATTTCATTTAGTTTTTTTTATAATAATAATAATAATGAAGAGAAAAAACTAGAAATACTCTAAAATTAAGCTTTTGTATAACCAAACAAGTTTGGTCGGAAAAACTAATAGAGAAGATTTGATACTAATTGATGTTGATACAATAATGTTTTTTTCATTTTAATATATACTTTATTATTTTACCAAATTAGAAATAAAAATATTATACAAAGATTGAGGTAACAGTTTTTCAATATGTAAGTGACCGAGACCGAGAAATATTATTGTTCAACCGACCCAGCCCAAAGTTTTTGAAGAGGGCTCAATTAATAATTTGATACAAGTAAAGGAGAAGTTCATAAAGAACATGATCGACTTAGTCAAGAGGATTAAAAAAGACCCTGCTTGTCATTTTTTAAGAAAATTAGATGAGAAGCTATTCCCACCCCATAGATGGCATTTAAGTCGTTCTTCGACGTAAAATCAAGGAAAGATATGAGTCATAATTACAACTACGATTTGAGTCTTAGTTTGTAAAAAATTATGTCTTTTGGTTTTCTTAATAGTATTTTTTTTATTTCTTATATTTGTTTAAGTGTGTTTTAGGTTTGTTAGTGCTCGGTGTTTCAAGTGATGTTTTCTATACTCTATCTTTCTACCTTAAGACATTGAGGACAATGTATTGTTTTTGTTGGGGGGAGAAAAAGTAGTAGTTGATATTAAATATAAAAAGTAAATATGTTTTCTATCTCATAAACCATTTGCAAATTGTTGTTACTAAGATGACAGAGTAAGGAGGAATTTTATTGACTCTTAAGACGTATAACATTTTTCAATGGTTATTTGCAAAATTCATAAGAAGGTCTATCAAAATACTTCCTGAAATATTTGGGTTTACAAACTCTTGCATTGTTATCACTTAATTTTGCTCATATACTCATTTAACAAGTATTATTAAACCTTTATTTTCACACACACACTTTAACATATGATTGTGGGTTGCATATTGGACTATTACATTATTTATGTTCTTTTGTTAAAGGTAACAACTAAGGGAAA